GTGCTTTTCACCAAGCTTGATGACCTGTGAGTCCATATGGTAGAGGCAAAGAACTGACTCCTGCAAGCTGTCCTCTCATCTCCACACATGTGCTATGACACATATGTACACACACACATGCACATACACACTATGAATGTTAAATCATTTAAAAGAAGTAAAAATAAAAATAATGTGAGCTCCCTCTTCATTGTAAATGTTTCTTACCTTTCTTCCCAATGTATGGTTTATACTTGGTGCCTTTCTGTATTTGCTACTTTTCTTGTCACTGTGACCAAATGCCTGAAAAGAAGCAACTCAAGGGAGGAGACATGTAGTGATACATTGTGTACCTAATAAACTTGCTTGAGGATCAGAGGACAGAGCCAGCCACTAGATTAGACACAGACACCAGGCAGTGGCAGCACACACCTTTAATCCTACCATTAGGGATCTCTGTGAGTTCAAGGCCACAGTGGACTACACAAGATTGATCCAGTATAGGAGAGAAACAGAGCCAGGCAGTGATGGCACACACCTTTAACCCCAGACTTGAGATCTAATGCCTTTGCTTGGGAAGCACACATGTCTTTAATCCTAGGAAGTCATATGGCAGGGAAGAGAAAGGTCTATAAGGCATGAGGAAACAGAAACTCATTCTCTTTAGGCTGAGGATTTCGTAGAGGGAAGAACTAGTGACTGGCTGTTCTGCTTTTCTGATCTTTCAGCTTTCACCCTGATATCTGGTTCTAGGGTTTATTATTATTATTATTATTATTATTATTATTATTATTATTATTATTAAAAGACCATCAAGATTCAAACAACAGAGACATCTGATTTTGGCTCATGGTTTCAGGAAAATAGCCCATCACGACAGGGAAGGCATGATGGTCAGTGGATCCATGGTGTGGGAATTTGTGGCAGAATTTGTGTCACATATGGGTTGATCAGAAAAAAGAGAAATTGCTGGAAGAAGAGCCAGGTTATCACCCCCTTGCCTGCCTTCTAGTGACTCACTTATTCTAGCTAGGCCCCATCTCCTAAAGGTTCCACAACCTCCCAAAATAGTGCTACTATCTTGGGACAAATGTGCAAACACACAAGCCTCTGGAGAGACATTTTATACATGGGCCATAATATCTTCCATAAAACCTGAATGTGGTGAGTGCCTGCTACATGGGAAGAAAACATTTACAACCATTGGTTGATGAGTGGAGGGAATAAATTCATTAATCAATGGATCAGATACTTTAGCCAACTCTAAGTTGTTTTGTTCAGCAACATAGGATGATCAAATTCTGAAGTAATGGACTTAGTTTCTTTGCCTATTCCAAAGAACTTCCCTCTTGCTGAGCACTGGTGGCACACTCCTTTAATCTCAGCACTCGGGAGGGAGAGGCAGGCAGATCTCTGAGTTTGAGATCAGACTGGTCTATAGAGTGAGTTCCAGGACGGCCAAGGTTACACAGAGAAGCTCTGTCTCAAAAAGCCAAAAACAAAAAACAAAAAAGAGAGAGAAAAGAAAAGAAAACAAAACAAAACAAAGCAAACAGAAAACCTTTGCTCTCTTTCCCTCTACTTTAGTCTACTGCACTTGTGTGTTTTTACAGTCTTAATCTGATTCCTCATTATCTTTCACTTGGCACTCTGCTACTGTTTCTGATTCTTCATGTCTTGTGCACATCCTTCTTCAAAAAGTTAGATGGCGCGCTTTTGAGAAGTAAATGGGATCCTGACACTTGGCAACATCCCACAAGCCCTGCAGATCTCCTGCCTTGCCCCCTCCTGCACCCCTTCATTTATAACCCATTACTTTGTTCTCTCTCCCATACCTTCCAGGCCTTAATGAAGAACTTTTCCTCTCTTCTTCCTGAAGAGCTCTCTTCCTCTGCTCTCACCTCAGTTTTGTACTGCAAATTTCTATTTACCTTTCAGATCCTGTCTATAAGCATTCACTATGCAGAGACTTCCCAGGGTTCCCTGTGTCTACTTTCACTCTCCTCCATCTTATGTCTTTAACTGCACTTGCTGGTTTGGACTGGTATATGACTGACTTAATCATCCAAAAAAAGTCAGATTTCTTCACTGAAGCAGAAGCTCCTTGAGGCCAGGGGCTGCACAGATTTGGTATGTCTGTGACAATGACTAGCAGTGACTTGGTGGCTTAAATGATAGAAATTTGTGGCCCATTGTGCTAGAGACTTGAAGTTCAAGATGAAGTGTTGAGGGGCAATGTGGTTTCTAAAGCTGCTCTCTTTGGCTTGCAGTTGGCTGTCTTCTTGCAGTCTTGTCTTCACGTGCCCCCCTCCCCCCATGCACACATCTCTAGTTTATCTTTGTGCCCAAGTTTACTTTCAGAAGGTCATCATTCGGGTGCTGGAGAGATGGCTCGGTGGTTAAAAGCACTTACTACTCTTCCAGAGGACCAGAGTTTGGCTCCCAGGACCCACATCAGGGATACACAGCCTCCTGTATTTCCAGTTTCAGGAAATCTGATACCCTCTTATGACCCCCTTGGGCACCTAAATACATGTGCATATCACACACACACACACACACACACACACACACACACACACACACACACACAATTTTAAGATTAAAAGCAAATCTTTAAAAAAATGACACTAGTCAGACTAGATTAGAGATTATAGCAATGGACTCATTTTGACTCAATCACCTTACTAAAGAGCCTGTCTCCAAACTGTCATATTTAAAGGTATGGGGCTTAGTGGGCTGGAGATGTAGCTCATTAGGTAAAGTGCTAGCCTAGCATATGCAGAACCCTGAGTTTGGTTTCCAGTGTCACATTAAACTGGGCATAATAACCCACATCTGTAATCCCAGCATTTGGGAAGTAAGGGTAGGAAGATCAGAAGTTCAAGACCATCCTTGGTTACATGACTAATTTGAGGCCACCTAGAAATACATGAGACCCTGTCTCAAAAACAAAGTACTAAGGGCTAAGTTTTCAAGATATAAATTCTTGAGGAGGAATGCAGTTGGACTCATAACAGGGACTATATCACTTCTACTCATATCCCCATCATCCAGCACAGTGCTGGTCTTGAGATTTGGCTTACACCCCTTATATAAATGATTGCATTCCAAACCCTCACTTTGCTCTTCTCCACCATCACACACTGTGTTCCAGGCAAAGAAAATCAGAAGGCACACATCACAGCAGAAGGACCCTCTGTGGCCACAAGAAGTGTTTGCTGTCACAATCAAGTCACAATTGCTTTCTTAGGACTTCCATATGGGGCCAAAGCAGCCATCTATAACTTGCTGGCTTTTTTGCCACCCTTATGGACTGCTGGGGGAGGTCCTTCTGGCATCTGATGGCTCACCAAACTGGGCCTCTTCAGAAGATAAGGCACAGGTGAGTTGGTGGGAGGATAGATCTGCTCAGGTCTGGGAATGCAGTTTAGCAATGAATACTAGAAGCAAAGAAGAAGAAGAAGAAGAAGAAGAAGAAGAAGAAGAAGAAGAAGAAGAAGAAGAAGAAGAAGAAGAAGAAGAAGAAGAAGAAGAAGAAGAAAATGAAGGAAGGAAGAAAGAAAGAAAGAAAGAAAGAAAGAAAGAAAGAAAGAAAGAAAGAAAGAGAGAAAGAAAGGAAGAAAGAAAGAATCTTGTAACCTTATAATCTCACAGCTAGTAATTCAATCTGAGGACGGACCTGGCAGAGGAGAGCTTAAGATAAGCTTATAGCCTAACGTTAAATTCTTTCTTTTTTCTTCTTTCCTCTTCTCTTTTTTCCCCTTCTTTCCTTCCTCCTTCCCTCCCTTCCTTCCCTCATTCTTATCTTTTTTTAAGATAGGGTCTCAAGCCGGGCGGTGGTGGCGCACGCCTTTAATCCCAGCACTCGGGAGGCAGAGGCAGGCGGATCTCTGTGAGTTCGAGGCCAGCCTGGGCTACCAAGTGAGTTCCAGGAAAGGCGCAAAGCTACACAGAGAAACCCTGTCTCGAAAAACCAAAAAAAAAAAAAAGATAGGGTCTCACTCTGTAGCCCTGGCTGGTCTGGGAGTCATAAAGATCTACTGCTTTTGCTTTCCAGGTGCTGGGATTAAAAGTGTAGGGCCACCGTGCCCCAGCCTCACTCCTAATTTCTTTAGGAAAAAATATGTAAATTCTCATTATTATAATAGCAAGCATCTAGGGAGAGTGCCCAGTAGGTAACAAGAAGAGGAAGCTTTGTGAGTCCAGTGCATTGAAGTTACTGCAGTTGTGTAGCCATTGAAAGGATTGCTTTATATGTATATTTGTGTGTGTGTGTGTGTGTGTGTGTGTGTGTGTGTGTGTGTGTGTGTGTGGACTGATGCCTGTGGAGGTCAGAGAACAACTGACTGAGCCTGTCTTTCCTTCCACCATGTGGGTCCCAGAAATTGAACTCAGGCTTGGTAGCAGGTACATTTACCTGATGAGCTATCTCACTGGCCTTAAAAAGGCTGTTAATACAAAAATTGTTATTTCATTTTATGTGTAGGAGTGTTTTGCCAGCATGTGTGTGTGCATCATGGGTATGCACTGCTAGAAGATACCCATAAAAGGGCATCAGATTCCCCCAAACTGGAGTTAAAGACTGTTGGGGTGTGTCATATGGTTGCTGGGAATCAAACCCAAGTCCTCTTAGAAGAGCAGCAAGTGCTCTTAACAGCTTAGCTATTATCTTATCTTTCCAACACTGTTTAGGAAGAATTTTTAATGATATAAGAGAAAAGTTACATGAAGCAGTAGGACATAGCACAGATCCTCTGACTCAGGTAATCAATGAAAATTGTCGCTTTCACGCGTTTATAAGTTCAGAGGGAAGCCCAGATTGATAAATATCCTAATCTTGCTTTAATAGTTTTGTTGTTGTTGTTTTAAAGAACCAGAGATGTCTTCCTCTGTGTGTTTTTTGTTAAAGCGCGTGTTACTTTTATAGCCAGGAAAGCAGGCAAAGTTTTGAAAGCCGCTGTGCTGTCCACCAATGAAATTCTGACTCCCAGGGAAAGTGCCTGCGGTGCGCCTGCTCCCAGCTCTCTGGACCTCTCCTCCCGTTCTCCCGGGACTGACGGGCTTCTAAGGAGCGTTTAAGTCCCCGTGGCCACTTCAAGCGTCAAACGTCGCCAAGCACAGCGCAGCTCTCGGCCGGAGGTGGAAGGTCAGGGGAGGGGCCGAGCTTTCTTCTGTCCCTGAAGGAGATCTGGGCTGCGCTGGGCTCCCGAAGCCCTTGTTCTTTCTCCGGCCGCCGCCCAGCCCGTTGCTCCAGGGACTGGTGCAAAGTGCCGTGTCATTGGGAAAGCTGGTGGCCGGGGCATTGAATTCCATGAAGCTGGAGTAGGACTGCGGGGGTGGGAAATGAACAGGAGCCCCTGTTCTCGCAATACACTCTGACTAGCCCACTCTGACTAGCCGGGTGAGGAAGTCGGAGGCGGGGTCCTAGCCTAGCCCACTTGGGCCGGCTGGACTAGCCTGTTCCTCTTCAGGACAACACCTGGGAGCCGGCAGCCAGCCGTCCAAGTCGGTCTTGCTCCTGAGGGGACCCTCCGCCTGTGCCTTGGCTCTGGCCCCTCCGGTTTCATGATGCTGCGAGTCTTCATCCTCTTCGCGGAGAACGTCCACACCCCGGACTCCGACATCAGCGACGCCTACTGCTCCGCTGTGTTTGCAGGTAGGAACGCCGCCAGAGACACAGCCAGGGAACCTGGCAGGACCGGAGTAGGATCCCGGGGCGCGATCCACACGTGCCTGCCTGGAAGCCAGGAAAAAGACTGCCTAGCTCTATCAGGCTGATGTTGGACATTGAAAAGATACAGTGGGGAGGTGTGGGGCGACTCGGGAAACTGAGGCTGTGAGATAGAAGTGGCCTGTGTTTCAGCTGAGCCAGGGGTGGCATTTGGTAGACCAGGTGGACGGGGCCACTAACCCTCTTCTCTGGATTCCTTAAAATATCTTTCCTCTTTTGGCTTCACTGTCTAGCAGGGCTCTGCTCTTCTCCCCGAAGGCCTGGGCCTTGACCTATTTATAACCAGCTCTTCCCTGGGCCTTTGTGCACGATCAGAAGCTAGACTAGCAGGCTGGCTGTCACTGGAGGCAGAAGCAAAGCCACGCCTCCAGGAATCCTAGTTTCTCTCTCTCTCTCTCTCTCTCTCTCTCTCTCTCTCTCTCTCTCTCTGTCTCTCTCTCTCTCTCTGTCTCTGTCTCTCTCTCTCTCTCTGTCTCTCAAACACACACACACACACACACACACACACACAGAGAGAGAGAGAGAGAGAGAGAGAGAGAGAGAGAGAGAGAGAGAGAGAGAGAGAGAGAGAGAGAGAGAGAGGAGGGATGGGGGAAGTTTAGCTGTCACCGTTACCAATCTTTAGGACTTTCTCTTCCTCACTCTCAACAGAATGGCACCTGTTGGGGTAGCATGTAGGCTTCATTAGGCTGGGGTCCCCTAATGCCCGGCAGCCTGCTCCTCTCCAGTCCAGGGACTTTCCACATCAAGCTTTGGCAGGGCTATGCTTGAGCTTTTCCTTCAGGATGTGAAGGTTGGGTTCTGTCTGCTTTCCCAGGACCAGACCAGGGCTGAGGTCTTCATAGTTTGTCTTCCAGCCCTGAGACTTGAGGATCAGGAGTGGACCATTTTCACTGTTTACCCTAAAGGTTCTCTTCTCAATCCTCCTTCCCCGCCAGTCCTCTTTTCCCTGTATCCCTGGACCAGAAGTTCAGAGCATCAGTCAGTCCCTGGTCATCCAGTGGACATTCCATTTCAGTATCACTAGCCATTAAGCATGAACACGTGCTCCCAGACATGTGCACATCCTGGAGTCCATGGGACATCTGGGATGCCCACAAAGAACGGTTGCTCTCAGAAGGCAGGCTTGAGACAAACATGGCACATGCAGATGTGTTGGGAGCACCTAGTGCTGAGTGTATTTGGTGCATCTTTGGACAGAGACCCGGGATGGGCAGCCTGGAAAGTAGCCTGCACTAAGAGAAGGAACTGAAGAACTTAGAGAACATTCCACGTGTGCCCCGCCCCCAGGCTTTGACTTTGTCTTCCCATAGAAGCCTTTGAAAATGAACTGTATCAATGTGCTTCCAGCAGACAGGAAAAGGACATCTTCTCACGTAGTTGGGATGGAGACTTTGTGTTGCCTCCCTGTATCCTCAGCTCTGAGCAGACCAGCCAATGGCCTGGTTTAGGTGCCTGGCTGAGGGCTCTGGACTCCATGTGGTTTACTTCCAGAGCAGTGGTTCTCAACCTGTGGGTCTCGACTCCTTGGGGTCGAATGACCCTTCCACAGGGGTTGCATATTAGATATTTACACTAGGATTCATAACAGTAGCAAAATTACAGTTATGAAGTAGCAATGAAATAATTTTATGGTTGGGAGTCACCAAAACATGAGGAACTGTATTAAATGGTCACAACAGTGGGGGAAGTCGAGAACCACTGTCTAGAGGGTACCACTGGTGCTATGTCTCCTCCTTCTCCACTTTTGGTTCCAGGCTGAGGGAAGCGAGGATACTATTTGGAAAGACCAGCCATGACTTGGGTGTTAGCTGGTCTCTGAACTCCTTCCTCACTCACTGTCCGGAAGTCCGACCAGCTTTGTAAAGGCACACCTCAGTACGATGCATCTTTGCAGGGCACAGTGTGCTGTCTAGAGCTGACGCTCCTCTCAGGAGCTGTGTCTCCTTTGATGTGTCGTCCCCCTCCCTGCACCCCCAGACAGCCCTGATTTCCTCCCAGCGTCCCTGGCCTCCTCCTCTGCAAAGGTTCAGCACGTTCTCTTCCTCCTGTTCACCCCACCCCCAGGGCAGACTCAGGAGCTCTAGTAGGGAAAAGGCTAGGGATAATAATGAATGGGAGTGCTTTCCAGCCCACTGGAGGAAGCGCAGCTATTGTAGTTTCAGGCTGATTTCGTTTAGACCCTGGGGGCCTGTCTGGAGTTTTCCCTCAACCTCACTGGGAGGAGGTCATTCCACAGTCCTCCTCTTTGCTGCTCCTGGCTGCTCTGGATTTATTCCCCTTTCCTGGAGCCCAGAGCTCACTGTAGAGAAAGGAAGTGTATTATCTGTGCTCTGAACCTGAGAAGCAGGCTGGCTGGAACTCACAACCCAGGATGTCATCGTCAGGCAGTAGAGAACGGTTTTCCCCCTCCCCCAAGCCCTGGCCACCTTCCACCTCCTGCATTAGCCAAACTCTTAACCCATGTCTAAATTTGGCTGCTTGCAGTACTTAAGCTTGCTCACCCTTCTATTCCTCAGGGCTAGGTTGGTGAATGATTCCAGAGCAGGCTCTGGCCAGGGGCAGACAAATGCAAGATGCCCTTCTGGGAAGTCGATCCTCCCTAGCTGACCTAGACCTGCCTTTCCAGTGACGTGGTCTCAATATCTCATAGATCCTCTGTGGGTCAGCAAATTCACGGTATGCTCGGTCAGCTCTATAGGGTCGAAGGGAGAGAGTATTATCTCCTTCACTGATGAGGATTTGGCCCAGGAGATTCAGGGGGCTTTACCAAGCTTGTACACTTGTCAGAGCATCCCCTCATAGAGGCTCATGAATAAGAAAGGACTCTGGAATGCATGCCATGTGCCACCCACACCAACCAGACTGAGCTCCCCGTGTAGAGTTGAGTCTAGAAGAGGGAACCCGGGGCTGTGAGGAGCATAGTATAGGACCAATGGCCCAAGGGTGGAGCGGCCCGACTGCTTCACTGCTATTTTTTCCTCTTCTTCATTGGTTTTTTTTTTGAGTCATGGTTTCTCTGTGTAGCCCTGGCTGTCCTAGAACTCGCTCCATAGACCAGGCTGGTCCTGAACTCAGAGATAGGTACGCCTGCCTTTGCCTCCCGAGTGCTGTGGTTAAAGGCATGCGCCACCGCCACCCAGTTCTGACGTAATATGCCTTTATCACAAGGAAGAGAAGTGAACATTGGCTAAACGTGAGCAATACATCATTTTCAGAAACTGTTTCTGTAAAACCCCACAAAAATCCTATGGACAAGATCCAGACTTATTATACCTGACATGATTTTTTGTTTTTTGTTTTTTTGTTTTTTTGTTTTTTCGAGACAGGGTTTCTCTGTGTAGCTTTGCGCCTTTCCTGGAACTGACTTGGTAGCCCAGGCTGGCCTCGAACTCACAGAGATCTGCCTGGCTCTGCCTCCCGAGTGCTGGGATTAAAGGCGTGCGCCACCACCGCCCGGCTCTGACATGATTTTTTAATAGAATGTGTAACACAAACTACATCCTGGTCCAATAGCAAGCACAGGTGGTAGCAATTCTCATCATCCCACTTCATAGAAAAGGAAACTGAGGCACAAAGAGCCTGATGTTTGCTCCAGTAGTGACGGGAACTGGACTTTCAAGCCCAGGCGGCCTGGATGTAGAGTCATCTTTATACCGTCTTCACTCACGCTACTGTCTTCTTCCAGCTCTAGGTCTGTCTAGGAGACAGAAGGAGGAAGGAGGAGGCTGAATTCAGGCTCTGGTGCCCATCTGCATGTTGACCTGTACACACATAACCCCGACCCTGACACATCACACAAGTAGTTCTTACCCACCTAGATCCGGAGGTCCTCGGTTCTTCTGTGTGGCCTCGAGGGCACATTCTCATCTTAGCAGGCTTCTGTCTTGACTCACCTTCCCTGTGACTGATGGGCCAGTCAGATACTATTTAGTGCAATTTCCAGGTGTCCCAGCCCTTGTACTAGGCCCACTCAGAGTCCTCATTTACCTGTGGGGGTACCTGCTTAGGACATGATACCCTGAGTCCAGGGTGTTGGGTCATATGTTTCTAGGATGGCAACTTTTTGTGAGTATAGCAGGTACTCTGGGGGAGGGGCAGTGGTGTCATTGTGGACCTTTTTATGAAACAAAATTTGAAAAGGGGACTAAGAAGAGCAGCTGGCAGCCTTGGTTACAACCCAGTGTCATAAAACTATTGAGGGAGGGAGGGAGGAAGGAAGGGGAGGGGAGAAGCTGAGAGTACCAGTTTTGTACCTAAACTGTTTAGGGTTTTGAACCTTGAATTATGCATTCCAGTTCTGCCACTTTTCAACTATGTGTCCTTGGACAAGTCATTCAACTACTCTATGTGTCTCTCAGTTTCCCCCACTGTGAAATGTTGTGGACCAGATGACGCACTTTCAACAGTGCCTGGGCCTCAACACGTGCTAACTCTAGGACTGGTGTTATAAGTTGGTTGATAGAATGTTTGCCTGGTAGCAAGAGAGCCCTAGGTTAATCCCCAACTCTGCATAAGGCCAGGTTTGGTGATGTATGTGTATAATCTAAGCACTTGAGAGATGGAGGCAGGAGGATCAGAAGCTCCAAGTCATCCTCAGCTACATAGAGTTCCAGGCTGGCCTGGGCTACATAAGACTCTGTCTCAATAAACAAACAAAAACTAATACATGTTAACTATAATTATTATATGTCATTATGCATTTTTGTAATTACTATTCTAATTAACATATACATTTATCAAGACATTATTGCACAGACCTAATAAAGCTTTCAGTATATTATTTCTTTTTTTAACCCAGTCAGTTCTATCATCAGCTTTATTTGTCCATCCACTGGCCTCCCAAACATACACAACCAGCTGCATGGCTGGAATCTGTTTGTCCACCCACAGGGACCCTGGTGTCTCCTCTGTCTGCCACTCCT